GTCCACACAACAAAAAATACTAAGTCCACAACACATGAAAAAAAACTAAGTCCACAACATGAAAATTTTTCTATGTCCACAAAAAACGAAAAATTTACTAAGTCCACACAACCAAAAACATACTTAGTCAACATGACATGAAAAAAAAACTAAGTCCACAACATGAAAATTATTCTATGTCCACAAACAACGAAAAATTTTCTAAGTCCACACAACAACAAAAAATACTAATTCCACACATGAAATTATTATAAGTCCATAAAGGATGGAAAATTTCCTAAGTCCACAACACAGGAAAAAAAACTAAGTCCACACAACAACAAAAAAATACTAAGTCCACAACACATGAAAAAATACTAAGTCCACAAAAAAAAAAATACCAAGTCCACACAACATGAAAAATTTCTAAGTCCACAAAGAACGAAAAATTTGTTAAGTCCACATGACATGAAAAAAACCCAAGTACACACATGAAAATATTCTAAGTCCACAACACAGCAAAAACAACTAAGTCCACACACCATGAAATTTTTCTAAGTCCACAACATGAAAATTTTTCTGTCCACAAAGAACGAAAAATTTACTAAGTCCACACAACCAAAAACATACTTAGTCAACACCACAAAAAATACTAAGTCCACACACCATGAAAAATTTTCTAAGTCCACAAAGGATGAAAATTTTTCTAAGTCCACAACATGAAAATTATTCTATGTCCACAAACAACGACAAATTTTCTAAGTCCACAACACAGGAAAAAAAACGAAGTCCACACAACAACAAAAAAATACTAAGTCCACACACCATGAAAATTTTCTAAGTCCACACAACATGAAAATTTTCTAAGTCCATAAAGGATAAAAAAATTTTCCAAGTCCACAAACATAAATTAGTCCAATTCCACAAGAGGAAAAAAAACTAAGTCCACAAACAAAGACAATATTTCAAAGCACAAAATATGAAAAATATACCAAGTCCACACACATTGAAAATTATTACAAGTCCACAGGATAAAATAATACTAACTCCACAACATATGAAAATTTTTCTAATTCCACAAACAATGACAATATTTCCAAATACAAAAACAAACAATAAAATAATACAAAGTCCACAAACATCAAAAATATAATAAGTCCACAATCGATGACAATTATTCAAAGTCCACATACATTAAAAGTTATTCTAAGTCCACAAACATTGAAAATTATTACAAGTCCACACAAGTTCAAATAATACTAACTCCACAACATATGAACATTTATCTAAGTCCACAAACAATGAAAATTTTTACAAGTCCACACACGATACAAAATTATTCCCGGTCCACGGACGTAATACATTAATACGGAGCCACAGACGATAAAACATTTTCTATATCCACAAAATATTCAAAGTCCACAAACGATAAAATAATAACAAGTCCACAAACATACCAACTACACATACACAAAGGCTAAAATAATACTAACTCCACAAACATCATAAATTATTCCAAGTCCACATACATTAACAATTATTACAAGTCCACAGAGGATACAAATTATTCTAAGTCCACACAACATGACAAAAATACTCAGTCTACATTGACAATTATTCAAAGTCCACAAACGATAAAATAATAACAAGTCCAAATACATATTAATTATTCAAAGTCCACACAGGATCAATTAATACTAAGTCCACAAAGGATATTCAAAGTCCACAATCATTATACAAAGTCCACATAAATTGAACATTATTCCAAGTACACAAACAATAAATTATTCAAACTCCACAAAATATTCAAAGTCCACACAACATAACAAAATATTCAAATATCCACAAACATCATTAATTATTCAGTCCACATAAATTGAACATTATTCCAAGTACACAAACAATAAATTATTCAAACTCCACAAAATATTCAAAGTCCACACAAATTGATCATTATTCCAAGTACACAAACAATAAATTATTCAAAGTCCACACAAATTGACAATTATTCAAAATACACAAACAATGAGACATTTTCAAAGGATAACAATTATTCCAATTCCACACAAAATACACAATTATTCAAAGTCCACACGGGATAAAAAATTAGTCCGATTCCACCGGCGTAATACGTTATTCCGAGTTCGCGTGGGTCGATAATTATTGCCGGTCCTCGGACCCGACGCGTAAATTTCCCGGTCCACAAAAGGCAAAACAAATTCAAAGTCGACAAACATTATCAATTATTCAAAGTCCACAAAGGTTAACAATTTCAAGTCCACAAACAACTACAGGTTGTAACTCTCTAGTCCGGCATTCTGTGCTCCGCAAACTCCCGTGGTCCAAAACAATTTTACTTTCTCCAACAGGTACATAGGCAGTTTTTTTTTTTTTTTCTTGGAAATTATCATTATTATAGCAGGAGTATTAAATTGTGGGTCAGTGACTTATGCCCAGGTGGGCTAATCCCCTAAAAAAAAAAAAAACCCCCCAGGAAATTAAGGTTTGTTTACATCCAGCACTTCAGCTGCTCTCTCTCTCTCTTTGTCTATAGAGTACAACATTTAACCCTTCAGCAATAAATAAGTGTTGCTTTCATATTCTTATGTAGAGTAATGACGATATCTTTTCACATGTGCGCACTCACTTTTTTTATGGTTAACTACTTATATTGTTCCATTTTTTAACATTAAATAACATTACACGTACTTCAAACGAGCATATTAATTTTTTTACATTAATTTTACTGCAGCTAAAATCAGGGTCTTATTTTCTTCAGTTTTATATGTACAACCAATCGGTCACTGGTTTTGTGAGCTTTAACGTAAACGATGCCGGCAGCCGTCTCGTCTCGTCTCCTCTGATATTCCACGTATTAATAATAAATTCTATTGTTAATTTTGCACACACAAACATTAATTCAATAAAAACAAATTCACAAACATCAATTACAATATATATGAACAGTAAATAAGTGTTGCTTTCGTATTCTTACGTAAAGTAATGACGATATCTTTTCGCATGCCCACTTACGCGCGCGATCTCTTTTTTTTCTTTACCGTTATCGTTAGCTGCTTCTATTGTTCCATTTATTAACATTACTTAAAACAACCATAGTCATTTGACTACAGCTACAGCCAAGGTCTTATTTTCTTCTCTTTTATATGTAGAACCAGTCAGTCACCGGTTTTGTAATCGACGAAAACAATGCCGTGTGTTTTAATATTCTACGTATTATTAATGAATTGTATTGCTCATTTTGCACACAAACAGTAATTCAATAAAAAAGACATTCAATAATGAATCTTTTCTACACGAGAGAAATGACGCTCTTTACGCGATTGTGCCAGTCGTCTGCACGTTGGCGGGCCGTTCAAACCCGTCGAAATTCCACTTTCCGCCGTCAAAATTTCTATTTATTTATTTTTGGCTCTGTTCCAATAAAATACGTTAAGAATTAAAAACTCTCGAAATTTCACGAGCTACTATACGACATTTAACCCTTCAATATGTCTTCAAAGAGGCCGTGATGCAGAGAAAGTGGTGCTAGTGCTTCCAAGCATAAGCACAAGTCACTATCTATCCAGGAAAAGGGTCAATTTCCATGGTCCGGTCCCGAGGTTGCCCGACTAGAGGTACGACATTTCGGTCCACAAACATGAAAAATATACAAAATATCTCACTTATTCAAAGTCCACATACATGCAACACATTTTCCAAATCCACAAACCAAAATAATTTCAAACTGCACAAATGACTATACTATAATCAAACAACAACAACAAGTCAAAACATTTTTCAAACTACAAATAACTTCAATCAAGTACAAACAAACATATACAAGTCTACAAATATTCGAAGACGACCGATCCGCGGACGATTGACTTTCGTCGACGACGCCACATTTTTTACGACTCCGCGAACGAATCTACGACGACAAAAAATAACTCCGCGACTCCGGCCGTTCCGGTCGATTCCGACGACGCCAAACTCCCGACAAAATATTCCCGGTGCGCAATTGACACCCTTCAAATTAAAACCAATAACTATTCCACAATAAACAATTTCACAAGTCCACAACATTAACTTACACTCTTCAACTATTTCCCGATATATAACTGCCCAAACCCGACGCGACCGCGTATTCAAACTACAGACGGTACGTGCATTCTCGTCCTCGATGACAGTTACTTTCCAAATCTAAATAGAACTCCTCCTCTTCTTAACAACAACATTTAGTCAAATATCAACACAATATATCTAATTCACACTCACAACATATATATAACAACAAATAAATACAATCCAACATACACACAGCAACAGTAATACAACCACAAATTCAATTGGTAACAACAAACATATACAGGAACACAAAAACAACCAACAAATGGGAGTAACAACAGGATCAAGAGCAATGGGAGGGTGAGAAACAACAAGGGAATCACAATCAAACAGAGGAGGAGAAGGAACAGACGGAGAACAAGCCAAAGAATAAACAAGGAAACGAGGAAGACATATGGCGAAGAGGAGGAGTAAAAGAAGGAAACAGGAAGAAGAAGAGGACGGACAGAAGCAGGTAGGGGGGAGAAAAACGAAGGGAGTTGCAATGAAACGGAGGGAAAAGAAGCCGCACGACAAACACGTCAAAAAAGGAGGAGGAGGACGGGGAGGCAGAGGGAAAAGACAAAAAAGGGAGGGCTTACAAATTAAACATTGTGCTCGTATTCCTTCCCCTACTCGTCCAACAAATTTTATTATTATACAAACGCCTTCACAATAAACACCTTAACACGAGTGGAGCAACACGGAGTACGGGTGAACGAGTATAAATTCAGGCCAAAAATATATTACTGCTGCATTACGTATTTCCTTACCGGTAGATGTCGCGGTCTCAAAATAGGTACCCACGCGCACTCCACGACTGCCCGCTCTCAAACGCACTGCCACAATTACGTAAAACTAATACACCTGTCGAACCTTCCCGCCATTTCAAACACGCGACTCTTAGTTAAATCTACTTCCAAATCATTCTTTACGCATCTCGCGGGTATACTTTCGTTTGTGCGCCGCCTCGTCTCCGTCCGAATTCCCGTCCGTTCTCCGTCGGTCCTCTTTCCCGTCCCGTAAACGGACCCCGATCGACCGTCGTCCGTATCCGCACCCGCCGCTTTACGTACGACCCTTTCCTAAACCGCCATTTACTAAATTCGTCGTCGTCCGTCCCACGTCGAAAGGTTATTGCGATCGTCGCTTCCGCCAATTCCTCTACCGCGCGACTTCTTTACAATCCCCGTCGCATCCGTTTCTCACAATTACGCCGACTCGGCACTGACGAGTCAATTCCTTTAATACCCTACAAAATATATCATTCGTTGTCCCCCCCCCCACCACCATCCTTATCACCTTTTACTTTATATCTTCACTAATATATAACTACTCTCTCTGTCCTAAAAAACCCCCCAAATAGTCATCATTTCTCCATTCTTATCGGTTACCACAACAACACCATCTATGTCGGTCCGATCTCCCCCGTTCTTTTACTTTCAAAAGGCGCACTTCCCCGCCGCCGCCACCGCGTTCTCTCGTATTTATGCTGCCGTTATTTACGGATGCGTCCCACCGCATTCCGTGACGTTCTACGATCGTAATCATCTCCCCAAATTAGTGCAAACACCTAGTGATCACAGGCAACATCTTCAATAAATTCATTCTCGACATGTATCGACTTCCTCCGTCTTCGCAGAGTCGGTCTCTAAAAACAATACTACAAACATTATAACAATCGTTACAAACAACACGTACATTCATTTTACACGTTAAATCGTCTTTAAAACAATCGCGCCGGCCCGACATTGATGCGTGTCTCCTTCTGCGTTGACGAGTGTCTTCCCGCACTCGGGAGTGTGGCGTTCTTCCCGTGTTCCGGAGCATCTTCCTCGCGCGTCGACCGGTGTCTTCGTCCGCAGTCGACGAGCGTCTTCGTCCGCAGTCGACGAGCGTCTTCGTCCTCGGTTCCCGAATGTCTTCGTCCGGACCGCTCTCGTGCGCCGACTGTACGAGCCGTCTCCGACTCGTATCGGCGCGCTCCTCCGCAACTGAAACGGACAAATTACTGTCAAAATATATCGACAATTATCTACTATTACAAATTCTACTAATTCCCAAACAAACTTCATCTAAGTTCATTCTTTCTACAGTATACCTATACACAAACATATCTACACACTATTGCCAACTAAAACACACAGGCATACTCGACTACCCCACAATTACGTCCCGCACAAATTACTCCTCCCGCTCGTGCCGTACGCGGGCGCCGACGTCGCGCTCTGCCGTATCTCCGTAAATACCCGCGACCCCGTCGCCTACTACAAAATCAAACTCGACGCTCCTCCACCCGTCGGTACGGTGTGCTCGTCGCCACCTCCCATACTTAACGATTATCAAAAAACATACAATATACCTATACATAACATAATATTAATTGTACATATTCGTACCATTCCCAAGAACTCGAGAAATCTATAAGACGATTGGGAAAGTCCACTCGATCCGGACCGGTGTACTTTACGACCGAATGTACGTCGTGCTCTCGAGGTCGTACCATTTACGTCTGTGAACGTCCGGCGAACGTAACTTCCGCAGATGTCGCGTAAAAATACGCGACGACGGAGATCCGGTACGAGGATAAACGTGTTGGCGGTGAACCAAAAACTATACGGCGAGTTCTGCTATAACGCGTGTTTTGACGACGCGATTTATGAATTGAGAAACGATATTTGTAAGACGCGAACTCGTTTGCTCCGACGCGATTCCACTCGAACGATTGTTATGGCTTCGGTTCACGTTCGACATCGCGTGTTCAATTGAGTCGTGTGTTTTGTTTGTGAACAATTGCAGAAATAATGTATGTAATATTTATGTATACAGTATACCTATATATTATAAGTCAATTGTAAAATTTTAAATAAAAGAGACAATCAAATTACATAGCGTTTTACACCGGCGCTCTCTTTACATCACACAGTGTTTACGGTTCACGTTCGACATCGCATATTCAATTGATTTATGTGTTTTGTTTGTGAAGAATTGCAGAAATAATTTATGTAATATTTATGTATACAGTAAACCACTCACAAGGTCCTACAGTGACAACAAAGGGAAAGTGACCTCGACTGTGACCGTCTGTGCCTATTTTTAGCCGTCCTTGTGGTCGGTAATGCATATCGGTATATTTACTGATCATAATACTTATCTCCTATAAATAATTCATTTGAAATTTATTTTTGGGCAAAGAATATTCGGTAAATGACTGCGTTAATTCTTGAAACTACCTACATTGGTAAATTTAGGACATAAATGATGAACGGAAGTCACGTCACGGATTCGGAGTTTGGTCCTTAACGATCGCCATAAATGTACATTACCGGGTATAATGGTAGCCTCCCTTTTTCCAGAAAAAAGTATATAAATTAAAGAAAATACTTGCAGCATATTTAATATATTACAGTATATTATAAATAAATAAATCAACAAATAAATTCAAATTCCCTTATCATCCTGCGTTATAAACAGAAATACTCGAGTCCCCGAGCGAGTACACAAAAAGAAAACGGACGACCGACACATCCTCGAGTGGATAGAGAACGGACATCTCTACTGGGGGACTCGAACGTTTCTCGTGTTTTGTGGGCGCTGTAGCATAAGATGAATATGTAAATTGTAAAAATTTAAATAAAAGAGACAAACAAAATAAGTAGCGTTTAAAGTGTACTTTACATTGTGGCTTGGCGCAGGGTTATGCAGTGTTTACAGTTCACGTTCGACATCGCAAGTTCAATTGATTTATGTGTTTTGTTTGTGAAGAATTGCAGAAATAATTTATGTAATATTTATGTATACAGTATACCTCTACAGTATATGTAAAATTTTAAATAAGAGAAAAACAAAATACATAGCGTTTTAGACCCGCGCGCTCTGTTTACTCCACACTTTGTTTGAAACACGTGTGAAATTTTTAAGTGTCCTCGGTGATTACTGTTTCTCCAATTTTGTGACTATGGAAAAGAAGAATATCTCTGGGAAGCACTCTGGTGATCATAAAAGAAAGGCTATAACACTCGAAGAAAAGCTTGATGTTTCATGACTCCTCAACATCAATCTTCTCCCCCATCAAGTTATATTCAGATTTTTTCAAGGTAAAGTGTAACATTTACTGTATGATTTCAATATTAGATATGAATGTAACATTTATTTAGACTGTACTACGAAATTTTTGTCGATTTGGAGTAATCTGCACCTAACCCTATTTTCTCCATAAGCCCTGTCATTTCTATTACACGAATTTCTATAACACGATGTTTTACAAGAACACAACTATCGCATTATAGCAGAACTACCCGTACTCGAAAGGAAACGTCTCGTATGCATCCGCGTAAACTCGATACGCCTCGTCTCCTCGGGACGTGTACGGCGATGAGGATAATCTTACGTCTGCGTTCAAATGGTGCAATGTGTCTGAGGAGGATCCCTAATTACACTTTTAAGGGAAGTGGATATACCCACGCCACGAACTTTCGGCTTCTGTTCCGAGGGATCGTCCCGTGTACCCGCCTCCGGCGTGCCGCGTTCCTATTATGACCCGCAATGTGCATACAATAACGCCTACTTGCAATACAGTATAAAACATAGGACATAAATACATATACCTCATCCTCCATTACAAGCTACTACATTCTTAACCCTTACACCCAGGTGACGTCCATCTGGTCTCCCCTTTGTGGAGGAGGGGGTGGGGAGAATTCATCTTGTTTCTCGATTTATCCCAATAGGAAGGGAGGGGGAAGTGCCAGCAGCACCCTAACCCTTGGCTTAAACTCCCATTTTTTAATAATACTTTTCATATTGTATCCAACACTTTTAGACCAGATATGACACCTTCAATTCTATATCTCTATGCTAAATTAAGTACTCTCATTATAACACTTGTAATGTCCGTCCCTCTACGCATTTTCGATGGCACCCGAGTCTCGTCGTCGGTCGCATTTTCATTTCTCCCTCGTTATCTTTACGTTCTACTACTCTTTTACTCGTAAATTCCCGTCTTATTTCCTCTCGGTAACCGGTCAAAACTTCCTTCGATATTTCGTCGACGACGCGCCGCTTAATAAATTCTCGTCTCCCTTAAAAACCTTCCACTTACTCTACGCAATTCCTACGGAGACGCCGAGGCACGCCACATACGCATTCCTATTCTTCAGAGAACCATTAAGTAAATACCGTACACTGCGATATAAACATTACAATACGGCGTCGTCCGACATTCTCACCCGCGGTTCGAGCGGCGTCCTCGGCCGGGGTCCGTCGAGTCGCCGGTCCGCACAAAAATGACGTTTCTGACTCCCGTCGGGTGACTGCAAATGAAAAATTAAGGTTAAAAAATATACATAGTCAATTAGGCATGCAAATTATACATGAACCCTTGACACCTAACCCAAATATCTGAGTACATTCTCTAAAGACCTGGATACATTTGCCAAACATACACTTTCCATTGGAAAATCTTACATACTTAGGCAGCCACCAAACGGGGAGATACCACCTCCGCAGACAATATTGGAAGCGTAATGTGTCGTCCGTGGTAGATCTTCCTGCTACGTGGCATCCCTAAAATTGTGACCGAGTCCCGGGTCGCTCGTCTGACTCTCTGCCTCGTTAACACGCGATTGCGGGGTCTCGATTGTTTCTCTTACAACACAACATAAATATATTGTTCCTCACTTTTGATTTTTTTTTCCATTTTGTATTTCTTTAAGGTTCTTCAGTATTATTGTTACATATAAACTAGGTTACCCCATATTTATGGCAATATGTTTTATTTTACTTGTGCAATAATGCGCCACTTTGAATGCGCACGCGTGTTTTGGTTTCGTTTTTACGGACGGTCCCGAAAATATACCGGAGAGAGCGTCGTCGTTTGTGTCGTCGTCTGAGCCTCTCGCATCATATTTCGTTGATATCCACCAAAAATGAACACTGTAACTTCAACAATTATTATTATTATTACATTTTCGCCCCGATGTGGGTCAGTGACCCGTGCCCGGGTGGGCTAATTCCCATAAAAAAAATACGTATTATTTATTTACTTTGCACTCTTATCGTGGATCTCATTTCTTCGGCCAGTTCGGCCACCGTTCTACTCCGGATGCACGTCAAATACCCGACGGCGACGACGACCCCTCCGGGAACGTCGTAGCGTCGACCTCCGGCGCGCCCCGCGACGAGAAGACCGCTCCGGAATTTCGACGAGACGTCACGTCGAACGGCGTTCCGGACTATACCCTCGACGATGACTGCGAGTGGCCTCGGACCAAACCCCACGCCTCCCGAGACACGGTCGAGTGAGGCTTCGGTCTCCGTGCTCGCCGATCGCCGCAATATAATACCAATTAAAACACTGCACTGTATGGCAAGTCTACCCTACAATGAATCCCCAAATCTGCTGTACCAAACATTCACTTGCCTAAAACGGTTAGCACACACACATCCACCCAGGCAAAAGAGGGGACTTCAATCGACTACTCTTGTTACCGACGACGAAATGTACGGCGGAGGAGCCGCGCGCTCGGTCCGTGGGCGTCAAACCCGAGCGTTCCTTTAATCGCGGGCTGTGGTTCCGCCGGAAGATGCCGTTCCTTAATTTCTGCAACGTGAAAGCCCGTCCTCCCAATTTCTCGCACGGCAACCGCCGGACGCGACCGCCTGCCGATGCCCTCTGGGTCCCACGCCACCCAAACAAACCCACCTAACTTTAGTAAATGGAAACGTACGTGCCCGAGAGTGGCGTACGAGTATTCTACGCGTGTCGCCGCATTATTCTCCCGCCGAATGCATTTGCCGCTGCGCATTTCGATGCGTTTTCCATTGAAGGACTAGGGTGTGGTTAGCAAATTATTTGTTCCTCTAATTGACATATATACAACTTATAAACCCTTCTTCACACTCACAATTTATAATTATAGTCACATATTTTATAGCAAACTCCAATAAACTTATCTAATATTTATCCCATTAATATCAACACTAATAACTGGTCACTTCGACTAAGTGTGTGTAGTGTAATTGTAATCACACAAAATGGTACATTATTAATAAGGTGACCATCATATACTATAAAACTTATTAAATAAAACACAAAAAAGGAACGACAGGTGCTAGGAGAGAAAGGTGGTATGTGGAGGGAAGGGATAGAGGGGTGGAAGGGAAGGATAATAGATAAGGAAAGGAAGAATGGTACGTGAAGAAAGGGAGGGGGGACAGATGGTGGGATAGAGGGGTGGAAGGGAAAGATAATAGATGAGGAAAGGAAGAGTGGTAAGTGGAGGGAGGGATACATTTAGCTGGAGGTAGAGGGAACAAGGGGTGGTATAGTCGTCAAACTATCCGTTAATCTTTAACGTCGTGTACTCGGAGCTTCCGTCTTCTCGAGTGCCGGAGCGGGTCGCCGCAGTTGTTTTGGGGGTCGACCGCCGGGCAAGTTTTAGCATTCTTACTTAATGAAATACTGTACATTACAAATACACGTATAATATGACCTTAAGCTAAAATAACCGTTGACTGAGCTTTAGTTATCCTTAAAATAGCATCCATAAAAATAGAAAAACACGTAGGTTATTCTCGACGATCGTCTCCGGAGCGACGATCTACGGTCGTTCTTCGTGTCCTTCTCCCGGATCGCGCTTCCGCTGCCGACTGCTGCCGTTGCCCGAGGCGACTTCTTCTGTGGGTTAAGTTTGTGATGTGAATGCTGCCTGCATTTAATAATTATACTGCACTACATCTATACAACCATTGCATAGGGTATTATAAATCAATCATAATGCCCTCGTAAAATATCGTGTTGATCATTTTTAATTTGTGTCGTGTACCGGTAAGCAGAGTGTCGAGTGGCCGGAGGTGTGTCCCGGGCCGACGGCGAGACGATACCCTACGTGATGGAACTAATCTACGATCGTAACTAGTCTATTGCTAGAAAATGCAATATACTGCACGCGAGACTACGTAAACGAGTACTTCTCGCAAACGACGACGGACCGTACGACTGCGCAATACGGGCCGAATCTCGAGCGGGCCCGCATCCGCGGACGGACCGCCCTCGGCGTGCCCGTCGACGGACACGCGCGCGACAAAAATCGCCACGACTATTTACTAAACGAAGAAACGGGACGTCGACGACCCGACGGCATTGTCGAATATTACGTCGTCGACGCGTTTACGTAAAATTGTTACCGGTCCCGCGTACGCGTCGGTGACGCGAGGCGCATTCCTAGAGAGCTAATAGCTTTAAACCAAATTTGGACTCAATTAAAGTGGTTTCAATGGAACAATTTACTTTGGTACTCGAGACTAACACAAAATACTAAAAAGACCCAATATACCCAAATGCACCTCGGCCCATCTCCTACAAAACATCGTTTTTGTAGTATCGCGTTAAAACGGACGCTCGTAAATCGACGCGGCTAAAATTATGAGACGCGAAATGGCCCGTTTACTCGTGATCGGATTCGCGGCAAGATGGGGAGGAGGGTTATCGGTTTGACAGTTGATGCCAAGGTCTAGAGCTTATTTATTTATCTGTCCTTAACAGTGACTTTCAGGTTTTCTCTTATGAAATATCACTAAACTGACTTGGAAGAATATAATTAACATTGCTGGAATTCTTATAAAATTGTGATTACTTTGAATATAAACATGCTATAGTTCACATACAAATTTTAGTTGTAACTAATTTTATTACAAAGGGCTACAAATTTTTATCTCTTGTGCAAAATATACAACGTTTATGTTAAAATTATTAGCCGTCTTGTAACGATTTTAGCAATGCAAATTAAATTCTAACTTTTGTCTGTGATATTACTTAAGATAAAGCCCGGCGACACCGACGGTTGGCGCCCGGGTCTGTGGCGCATTTTTTCCCGGCCGGGAAATGACCCGGGTGAATATAATTAACATTCTTGGGATTCTTGTAACATACTGATTAATTTGTATATAAACATGCTATAATTTCCACTAGACATAACAATTTTAGTACCCAAATCAAATTAGTACAACAAAACTCCAGCTTTGCACTAAGGTCAATTATTTCTTTTAGTATGCTGTGTGCATGTAAATGGATGAAAATAAATGAAGAAATTGATGTAAATCTACCCAAAAATACAGTTCAAAAACTTTATATTATAAAATGTACTACAGTACTGTACACTAACGTACAACAATTTTTATCTCTCGAGCAAAATATATGACGTTAACATTCAAATTATTGGTTGTCTTGCAAGGATTCCAGCAATGCAAATTATAATCTCCTAACTTTAGTCTGAAATATTATGTAAGATAAAAACTGTAAGCCTAAAACCCTGGCTCAACAGATGGGGGAGAGAGTTAAGAGGAGATGTTTGACAGTTTGAGCCGAAGGTCTCTGTGAGTTTATTTAACAGTCCTACTAAGCTTCTCTCATTTTAAAATGCCAGTGAAATGACCTGGTACAATATAATTAACATTGCTGGGATTCTTGTAACATACTGATTAATTTGAATATAAACATGCTGTAATTTGCACCGGACATAACAATTTTTGTACCGTAATCAAATTAGTACAACAATGCTCCGGCTTTGCACCGAGGTCGTTTATTTCTTTTACGTTTCTTTTATTGTGGTGTCTGCATGTAAATGGATGAAAATAAATGAAGAAATTGATATAAATCTACCCAAAAATACAGTTGAAAAACTTTATATTATAAAATGTACTACAATTTTTATATCTTCAACAAAATACACTATATATAATGTTTATATTCAAATTATTGGCTGTCTTGCAAGGATTCCAGCTATGCAAATTGTAATCCCCTAACTTTAGTCTGAGATATTATATAAAATAAACACCTTAAAGCATAAAGTTATCACCAATGTTTTGTCTGGGAACACAAGGAGGGAGGTAGCCAGCGAGCAGGGGGGGGGGGAAGGGAGGTGACAATGTCTTTATTTATTTGAGATAAGATTTGACAGTTGGCGCTGAAGGCCCGAGTGTTTATTTATCATTACTTAAGAGTGACTAAGCTCTTCTCATAATTTGCCACCCAAACGACCTGGGTGAATATAACTTGTAAGATAGTATTTGAATATCTGTGTAAACAATCTATATTTGCCATAGACATAACAATTTAAGTACCGTAATCGTTTAGTACACGTACAGTAAGGGTTTGCACTCGGGTCCATTGTTAACCGAGGGACCGCTGTAATTGCAGTATACTTATACTGTACAATATTGACTAAATTCACTAGATAACGTACATCACTAATGGTCGGTAAAACTTGTCAAGTCTCTCGGTATGAGTGGCACGTGTTAGTGCTCGAGTCTC